TAAAAAATAATAATCCATAATTAGATTTGTATTGTAATCCCATAATTACCCTTTTTTACAGTAACACAGATTCTTTAATTACTTGCTTTCCTTTAATCTGATCCGTCAATCTACTCTAATTCAATGGCCCAAATTTATCCACACGTTTGTATTTTAAGGGTGTTTGCATGTGAATGCAACCCTATATATATATATATATATATATATATATATATATATATATATATATATATATATATATATATATATATATATATATATATATATATATATATATATATATATATATATATATAGATTTTGAATCCGGTGCACACCCCCTAGTCAGCCGAGCCCGTGAGCTCACTCCTTAGTCGTTGATTTTCTTTTTTGAACGGTTCAGATGGTGTTGTTATTAATCACACGTGCCCTGTTTGTTTAGGTTGAAAGGGGTGTTTTTGTACTTTATTCTTGTCTTTTATTATGTCATTGCTTTATTTCCGCCGGTTATTTTGCGTGTGGGAAGAGATTTATTAGGATTCTCTTTTTGTTTCTCTTCCCATTGCACTCGATCCCTAGGCTATTCTAACTCTTCTCTCATCGCTTCGGCCGCAAGCTCCTTTTCCGTTCGTATCTTCTCTCCGATTTCAGCGCGTCAATATCACTCTTTATCTCCCCTCATGGCTTCCAAAGAATAGATGTCTGCAATCAAGGTATGTGTTTCTGAGACACTGTATGAGGTCTGCAGAATTGTTCTTTGCTCCAATCAGTTTCTGAATTTCTCGCTTGATTTTATTGCAATTGATGGCACTGTTTGACTGTTTTTAGGCCGCAAAAGTTTTCATGGTTGGTGCCGGTGGCATTGGCTGTGAGCTTCTAAAAACCATTGCTCTCTCTGGCTTTCAAGACATTCACATCGTGAGTTGAATTTCTGCCCTACTTTTGGAGTTTTCTCAACTTTTGGGGGTGGTTCGACGGTGTTCTTTTTTTTTTCAGTTTTTTTTTTTTTAATTTATGGGGGGCCGCGGGGGCGGCGTGTATGAGTTTGATTTTTTGGTTGATTGCAGCTTTCTTCAAAGGGTTTTGGAATATTGGCAAAAAAACACTTGAGATGTGCATATAAATCTTGCTTATTAGTGTTTTAAATTATGCTGTTCATTTTGTAAATTATGTTCTTGGGATCATGCATGCTATGAGTTCTTAATTATGTAAGCCAGCTTTTTTTTTTCCTGATCTAAATTCCATGATTTTCCTTTCATGGAAAAGATTATATCTGTTGAGGCAATTCTTGTTGTTTCCTTAATCTTGAACTCCCCTCTCTGTGGGGTGGTGTGTGAAAATTTTTGGGTCTGTAACTTGTGTTTGTTTTTTCTTTTCTTTCTGCAAGTCCAACTATTTCCGGTTTCTCTCTGTTAAACTCTTAATATTAACAGGGAACTAACCACAAAAAATATCTTGCAGTGTTCATTTATTCAGAGAGTAAATAAATTATTTCTCTGTCAACTCCTTCACCCTGTCCCCATATTCTCTGTTATTTTTTCTTGGGTGGGTTGCATCAAGATCAAACATGTACAACAAAGTTAGTAATACTAATTTCTTTTATTAGGTTTTTCTTACAGAAATTTATAGGCTTTATTTGTGTGTGTCTGTGTAGAGTTGATCTGAAAATTGTGATGCTCTACTGTTTCTTCAAGGTTGAATTTTGTTTGAACAGTTACCTGATGTTCCTATTTATGGTTGTTATAATTATATATTGTTTTCTTCAGGGTGGTTGTGTGTTTTATCCATATGGTTAGGTTAAGTGTTGTTGGTATTTGCTATTGCTGGTTTTGTTGTCGATTAAGCATTTATGTTGGTGCGCCACTGGTATTGGGTCAGTGCGTGTTTATTGTTTTTTTTTTTTTTTTTTTGGATTTTTTGGGGCTGCGTAGTTAGGTGTGGTGGTTTGTGCGTAGTAGTATGTTACCTTGTGCAAGTTAGGGTGAAATTTAGTTGCTAATTGGCACTAGCTTTTTTTTTTTTTGTTTTCTTTTTTTGTTTTTTATATTTAGGTTGGCGTGCTACTAGTATTGTGTCGGTGCGTGTTTATTAATTTATTTATTATTTGTTGGGAGTTCGGGGAGTACCGCAGTTACGGGGAGTGGTTTGTGTGTATTAGTTTGTTATCGTGTGCAAGTTAGGGGTAAAGTGTTTGTTGGAAAATGCCACTGCGTGTTTTCATTTTGATCGAGATGTGCTCGGTTTCGAAATTCCCTTTTTGCGGAAATGGCAGTGTATATTTTGGAGGGTTTTGCTATTCTTGACCTGAGCGAGTAGATGAATCTTGATTAAATTGTCAATTAATTCTTTCTTCTAAATATGGTGCTTGAGTGCTTAATTAGATCATAAGTTGAAGGCTTATGTGATGGTTCACCAGATCATAAAGAAAAAGATAATGATTTGATTAAAAACCTTGCCCGTGCTCTTCATACCGCTTCAATGGTATAGTGTTGCATTGCTCATGTTTCTTTAACTAATTAGTAGCATTCTGAATCTCAAAATTTAGTGTTTCTGATCTTTGGCAGTCTTCATATTTTTCCTTTGTTATCTCAGAAGGTTTGATTTCTGAGTAAATGATGAAAAGATAAAGAGACCGAAGAGTTAGATATGACTTTAGTATGTTTTAATGTTTGGCAGTCTTTGCATGGTTTGTGAAATCAGGTGTGTGTGTTATTGGTTGTGGGTTTGTGCGTGTGTCCTTATTCTATCAGTTCTATGCTGTCGTGCAGTGTATTTCTTTGTTTTTTTTTTTTTTTTTTGGTTTTTTTTTTTTTTTTTGTTTTTTTTTTTTTTTTGTTTTTTGGGTTTCTGTGATTAATATTTGCCATCCACAGGTGATTTTGTGGTTGAGCCGGTAGTTGTTGTTCTGGGTGAGCTGGTCGGTGCTGGCGATGTGGTGGCAGCTTTGCCACAGCCCGATGGTGCCCAAGTGCCGCCTCAGCCCGCACAACCAGCCACGGATTCGGATGGCTAAGGGTTGAGCCCGATGAAGTTGACGAGGCAAAAATCCCACCTCTGAAGATTCGCGCTGCTCCGGAGCATCTAGTGAAACCGATGAAGCGGTTTAATGGTTGCTAAAGGAAGGCGGCTGTTGAGTTGGAGTTGGCGTTGACGCAGTTGATGATGCATTATTCCCCCCCCCCCCCCCCCCCCCCCCCCCCTCCCCTCCTTAAGATTCGTGCGTCCCCTAAACATCTCGTCAATCCAATTAACCGATTTAACGCTTGCATGATGTGCGTGGTGTGGTTTTTGTGTTTTGTTATGTGCATATAAGGCAACCAACGTGTGCATATTACTGTTTCTGAAGAAATGCATTTTTTATCATGTACCTAATCACATGGTTTGTACTAATGTTTAGTGGTAGCTAGTGTGGACACTGGTGCTGCTATTAGTTTATCATGAATTGCCTAATCTCAATCATCTTCGTCTTGATAAGTTGTGATAATATAAAAAAAATAAATGTATGTGCGTACGGGGCAACCAGTCTGTGCAGATTGCTGTGTTGGTTAACAGTGTGTATTTGAATTTAATTGTAATTTAATTTCTGATTTATTTTCAAAATAAACGTGCAATAGACATTTTAACCTCTAACTAATCACACGCCGCCCTTCCAATGCATAGCATTACATTTCACGCTACTCACACCCACCATTCCGTCCAGCCAAAGGCACACGCTTCCATTACTAAAATGCACACACAACCACCCATACGCACACGCCGGTCAATTACTACGCACAAACTACTTTCATAATATGCATCATAGTCCAAAAAACCAAACGCCCCTTACTCTTGCACAGTCTACCCCATACCATTCATTCCGGCCGAATCATGTTTACGCACGTCCCATAACCAAACACCCCAAAACACCAATGTCATTTACTTCCCTCACCCAAAAAACAAATACGCCACAAAAAAAAAAAAAAAAAAACCGTCTCATGCGCACACGCTGTTGACAAACATGCACCTACCTATGTTCGTCTTATCATCCAACATCACAATCTATAATTTACGCTACCACTACCTCTTTAAACATTATGTGTCCTACCGCACTCAAACAAATAAGTTACTCACGCACACACGTCCCATTCTACGTTGTTTGTATTATGATGCATTCTAAACAAACACGACAAAAAATGAAACCTAAAAAATGCACAGAGCGGAAAAATGTAATGCACACGCCTGTTGACAAATATGCATCTACCTATGTTCATCTTATCATCCAACATCACAATCTATAATTTACGCTAACAATACCTCTTTAAACATTCTGTGTCCTACCGCACTCTAACAAATAGGTTACTCACGCACACACGTCCCATTCTACGTTGTTTGTATTACGATGTATTCTAAACAAACACGACAAAAAATAAAACCTGAAAATGCACAGACTGAAAAAAAGGAATGCACATACCGGAGTTGCTAGAAGCCATTCCCTATTCTTGATCTGCGCTACTGCCTCCCGGTTCAGGTATACACTCCCAATGGTGCGTTAAGGGTCAACACAGGTCGTCAAATAATTATTAATATCCGTTTCCATTCATATTCTTCTAAAAATAATCCAAAAGATTCCAATTCAAATCTATCCATAATTAAACAAATAACTACAATTACTATTTAACCCTTTTGATTTCAATATATCCTTATTTAATTGAATATTCTCTTCTAATCTCCACCATTCATGAAGAATGAATCAATGACTATTAGAAAATCTCATGATTTCATCTATAATAGGGGTGCACCGGATTCGAAGCCTATATATATATATATGTATACATATATATATATATATATATATATATATATATATATATATATATATATGCGCACTTGATTTAGATTCTGGTAGTATGATATAGAAAAGCATTAGAAAAGCATTTTAATTGATCTAAAAGAAGCAAATTAAAGCATAAAAAGATACAACTTAATATTATTATACAAATACAAATAATAATAATAACTAAGGTAACAAAACATTAACATCCTTAATTATTGATGTAAACATTGTCATTACAGTCTTTGACCAAGCGATTAGTATCAATCTCTAGTATGTGAGATCTGTCTTTGAAGTACCACTCCCCAATTACCTCTGTATCGGTCTTATTATTTACTCCATAATTTCTATTGTGCCAACCTTGGAAGGTAAGTTGGGTGTGCGTAAAACAATTTGAAAGGAAAACTCCTGACAACTTATATGTTGTTTTATACACAACATTCAAAAATTGAAATCTAAAAGTTTCTAAAACACCATACTGAGTTGGGGAGATTTTCTTGTGCTTAATTGCCTGGTAAAGAACGGTTGACAATGTCTTATTTATTTGATAGGAGTCATAGACAGTGGCCATGACTAGCAACGGCGTCTTAACATCTTCCACAATATATTGTGGGAACATGCATAAGTATTCTTCTCTGCCGCTGCTTTTCATTCGATCAATGCAAGCCTTAGGTAGGGCTCCAGTTGAATTATGTAAAACAAATGTGCCCCGAAACATGGACTCCAACCCTCGGGCTTGCAAAGGATTGTTGGAATGAAGGAAAAAACCGCCATCGGATAGACACTTGACTTTGGTGGTTCCCGGAAAGTGATTGGAAAAACGATCACAGTGGATTATAACTGCCAATCCTCCCGCAGAACCACCCGTCAGTAAAACTTCCTTGGCGTCCTTCATTCTTTTGGTGGATAAAAGGTCATCAACAATGGCATCGAAAACCCTTTTACCTCTATAATGTTGGCCAGTGGCTGGATCAACATTTTCCACATCTCCCGTGAAAGACGATCCATCACAATATCTGACCATCACTTTTGTCCAGCTGTGGAAGTCTGGATTCGATTTGGAGATGTTGTGAAGTATGCCTCCAAATCTTTGTTTTTGTTTAGTGTCATTCCAATATATGGAAGACCCAAGATGTCCACGCAATTGACCATAACAATCTGAGACAGTAGGACACCAAGCTCCTCCCAGGAGGTAAACCATCCACTTGTCCTTTCCGGCTCCAAAGCCTTCGCTGATGTGGTAAGCCGGTGGACTCCCATCTAGACAAACTGCTCCCTTGGAAGCAGCGTTCTTAATGATCGTCGGCTCCGTGACGGGATACCCAGAGCTGATGTCATACTCATCAGCAAATGCTGGAACCATAATACAGAAAACCACTACATAGTGTAGCAGCGAAAGTGATTTGGATGCCATGGAAGCAGATGGAGACAGAGAAAGGAAATGAGTATAGATGGAGAGGAATTGAAAGATTGAGATTGAGGAATTAAGGTAGCTCGTGCTTCGAGTGATATGCTGATTGAAGGTAATTAAAGATTGAGAAATGTTGAGTGTATTGGCTATGAGAAGATGCATGCTTATATACTGTCAGCAGAGGGAGGGTGGGGGCAGGCAGTTGCCCATACCTTCTTAATTCTTTTGCTTATTATTATTGACGATACCAGAAAGTCTACTAATGTATTTGTTACAAAAATACGAAGTCGTAAGGCTCTTCCACAAAGAAGAGTACATGAGGGTATCTTTTGTATTAAATAAATTAAATTTAGTTATTTCTAATGGGGTATTAATTCCTAACTAATATCATGGAAGGCATTGAAATGACTATTTAGTGGTAAACAAAATAGCCAATTCCATGAAAAAGCTTGTAGTTTTATAAATGAAAATGCTCGTAGTTTTTTATTTTTTAAATGTTTTTATTTTTTATTTTTTAATTAAAAATTATTAATGAAATTTCGTAAATTATATTTGACCAGATTGATGTAAATAATCATATTTACACCCTTATTATTATTTATACCACTTATAAAATTATTGAAATTTTTACACCTTTTTACAATTTCAAAGTTATTTACATTCACTTTTTGCTAGAGAATGTTACAAATAGCAATACCCATAAAAATTGATGAAGTAGAAGATGAGAGATTGGAACAAATGAAAAGGGAGCACTTTTTAAAACAAGATCTTGTAAGAGGTAAAGAGGAAAAGAGAGATGTTAATAATAAATGAAATGTGAGATAAAAAAAGAAGGAAAAGAAAGATGATATGGTAACAAATAAAAGAGTTTTATTAGATTGACTTCTAATTTTTATTCTCTCACTATTATTTTTTGATGTGATAAAATTGGCAATTTATATCGTGCATTAGGGCGCACATTGCATTGTGCGTCCTGGTACAAAACGACGTCATTTTGTTTTTTATTTTTTATTTTTTTAGAAAATTCATTTTTCTGTGTTTGCTAGTAACTTCGTAAAAAATCCAATATTTTGTAAATGTACATAATTGTATAATAAAATGTACATAATTGTATAATAGAATGTACATAATTGTATAACAGAATATACATAAACTTTTAACTGTTAAAAAAAATTACGTGTTCGGATGTACATAATTGTATAAAAAATGTACATAATTGCATAAAACAATGTACATAATTGTATTACATAATGTACATAATTGTATAACATAATGTACATAATTATATAATAGAATACACATACATTCTGTCGCGTCGACTTCACACACAACTTAACAAAACGATGTCGTTTTGGGAGGCACGGGACGCACATTATTATGTACACCGTGGTAGAGGGTATAACGATGAGATAAAACATGACAAGTAATATTTATAAAATGGGTTTCTGGGTTTCCAAAAAAAATGTAAACATAAAAACATTTAAATATAAAAAATTTTAAAAATATTTTCCCAAATAAAAATTAGAGTTTATTATTTTTAAATGAAGAGAGAAAGAATTGTTGTTACATTTGTAGAGAAATGGAAACGAATATGAGGAAAGGAAATGGGTATGTGGAAAATTGGAGAACAATTTATTTGTCACGGTTGGAAATTATAGAATTTTTGATCACCTGAAAGTGATCTTAAATCAATTTGAAAGTCTTGTTCCGACCACTTTCACTACTGGAAATTATGGAATTTCTGACCACCTGAAAGTGATCTTAAATCAAGTCGAAAACTTTGTTCCGACCACTTTTGGTATCCGGAAAAACCTTTGTTGCTATTTCCGACCACTTTTTGGACTTTTTAGTATCAACTTAATTTAAGATCATTTTCAGGTGGTCGGAAATTTCATAATTTCTAGTAGTGTTTTGGTATCCGGAAAAACTTTTGTTGCTATTTTCGCCCACTTTTTACTTTTGAATTGATTTAAAATCACTTTTATGTAGTCGAAAATTCTATAATTTTTAGTAGTATGTGTTATGTCAGGTTAATTAAAAATAAAAATAAAAATAAAATATTAGTTATACTCCAAAAACATACTTCCAACTTTTACTTTCATTCTTCACACACACTGCACACACCATGAATTAGGATCTATATTACATTAAAGATCCTAGTCTAAAATAAAATTTATATAATGTACATTAATAAATTGTGTACCTATATATATATATATATATATATATATATATATATATATATATATATATATATCGAAACGTCATACCCAACAATCAATTATTATGTTCTAATTTTTTATTTTTTATTTTTAAAACGAGTATGTTCTAATTTTTAAATAATAATATATATAATTTTTAATAATTGTTATATGACAAAATAAATAAGAATACATAAATAAGTTATTTAGATACCATCACGATATGCAAGAATTGAATTACGAACATGCGGGGGGACATTAGATTTGGTTTTGAGGGAGAGAATAGAGATGTTAGCTAGAATAATGAAGTGGTTTTCTAAAAAAATGTTAAAAAAAAAAAAAAAAAAAAAAAGAAGAAAAAAGAATAGAGGGTTGGAATGATAGAGAAAAAAAGAAGACAAAGATTACATCAAGGCAAAGAGGAGAAGACAAAAAAGTAATCGTAAAGTTGTTATTTCTTTAAAAATTGAGGGCAATTAAAATGAAAAAATAAATCAAAAATTAAATCAAAAAATTTCATCCATTAGATTTGAAATCAATGGTAAGCAAGGGGTGCAATATAAGTATAGGGGATATATATATATATATATATATATATATATATATATATATATATATATATATATATATAATCATATGAGAACACTTGCTTAGGTGAGAACGTGAGAACAAATCATGTGCATCCATCTAATATATTTTAATGGTCTAAATTAGATTAATTGTGTGCGAATCCGAATTAAATGTGTGCAAACGCAATTAATCTATTTAATAGCTATTTCTTTAATTTATGTTGAGTAATTTTCATTCATATTCAATGTAGTCTCAATTAATCCTTATTCAAAGTTCAAAGATTTGATCATTGGTTTTGGATATGGATCGGAGCAGTCTTAAATCTGCAGATCAACTGTCTCATCATAAAAAGGTGGTTACAATTCAACGAGGTGATTAGTCACTTTGTCTAACGGTGAAAACTCTAGATATACCAAAAAAAAAAAATGTAGGCTCAATTAATTGACATGTTTGGTTCAAAAAAATAATTTTCAATGAGATTTAAAAAAAATTGAAACAAAAATATTTATATTGTTTAGTTAATAGTAAATTAGTTCAAATAAAGAAATAAAATTCTTGAATTTGAGGAATAAAATGACTTCCTTTTTTGGTATTTTATTTTTTGGGAGCAGGGCAGTTGCCCACACTTTGTGTGTGTGTGTGTGTGTGGTGAAGTGTATTTATATATATAAATAATAAAGAGGCATGTTAACAAACTATAAGAAAAATTAGTTGAAAATTTAGAAATGGAGATTGAGACTTCCATCTAGGATGCCATGATCGGTTAGAAAACAGGCATAAATTAAAAGAGCATATGTGTGGTCACTTTGATATATTGTTTTGAGTGGTCTTACTTTCAATTTAAGTCAAAGTACATTTGAATTTTTGTTATTGCATATATATATATATATATATATATATATATATATATATATATATATATATATGTATATATATATATATAATGAACAATGAGTGAATGAAAAAATTAATTTTCAAAATATACCTACAAAATTTATTTTAAAGAGTGGAGTTTGGAAAGGTTTGGGAAGAGTTTGATCCTCCAATAATATAATTGTTAAAAAATGCAAAAGTTTGAATATTTTTATTTAATTTTAAATGCCTAAATATAATTATCAATTTAAAATGACCGAATATTTAAATTGCGCTTGGAAAATTCAAGGTAACAAACTTAGGGGGGTGCATCGGTCGGATCGGGGTCGTTCGGGTGGGCGGATGGGCAACCCTTTCGGATTTCGGATATCATTATTTAAATCCTATTTCGTTTTTTAATCTAAGAAATCTACTCGGGTTGACTGAACTTCGGGTGGGGTCGGTTCGGTCGGATATCCGAACCAATTTCGGATAGTTCAATAATAATGAAATAAAGGAAAAGCACTACAAAATTGAACAAAATAATGTAAATATAAAAAGTTAATATAACATACATGCAATTACATTTTACTCTAACTGCAATTACATGCCAAAATACTACTGAATATGCACTTAAGTCAAAAAATTATCCTTGCAAATTGCAATTACATGCCAAAAAAGTACTGAATTTCCAAGTTCCTACTTCCTAGTCTTCCTAGAGTTCCTAATCTCTTCCTATTGTTCTTCATCTTCCTGTAAACACTCAAAACTTAAGCAAAGTTAGCAATAAGTCAAAATGCCAAATAGCAAAAATAAGTTATTGAGCAACAGAATATCATTAGACAGTTATAATTTATAAACTTGGCTCAGTAAGCTTTTTATCCATATCAAAGTTAGGATTAAGGGGAAATTGCTACAACATCCCCATGAGGATGGAGCAACATACCAGCTTAATCCCTTATTTTTCAGATCATTGGTGGAAGCTTTCATCATGGCCATAATATAATAAAAGTATAAAACATAAACAAATTGTAAAATGTGCCAACTTACCAACAATGTAACAACTTACAATGGCAGCAACTAATTTAATTAGTTACCAAGCTAGCTGCAAGCAAGCCTCATGAGTCATGAATAACAGGCAAACAGCATAAATGTATTACAGAATACATTCAAACAGAAACAGCAGTATAAAGTATAAAGTACAAAGCATAGCATTACAGGAATTGTAGCAAGTGTAGAACCACCACTCCTTCCAGTTCCACTGCCACCATCAGTCCCAATTTCTGCAACAACAAAAAATTATAAGGAAAATAGGAAATAACAAATTGTTAAAAAAAATTGAATAGAATGTGTTACCTTGTTCAAATCTCTCCAATTCCTCCAGATTTTCCTCAATTGATAATGGGGTATTTGATAGCCTAAGCCAATCCTGTGTACAGACCAAAGCTTCCACAATTTTAGGAGTTAATGAACTCCTAAAATGATCCAAAACCCTACCAGATGTACTGAAGGCAGATTCTGATGCAACAGTAGATATTGGTATAGCTAAAACATCCCTAGCTATCTTAGAAAGGATAGGAAACCTTTCAGCATTCAACTTCCACCATCTAAGTATGTCAAAAGAGGTTTCTTCTTCAAGTATTGCCTCAGCAAGGTAAATTTCTAACTCAGTTTTTTTCATTCCCCCACTCTCCAATCTTTGTTTCTTAATCTGTGACTTTAACAAATGTTGGGGCCTCCCAACTGTAGACTGTGAAAAATCAGTAGGAGTACTGACAGGAGTAGAGACAGGAGTAGAGGCAGCATAATCATTAAACAACTCTTTCAAGGCTGCAATCACTTTCTCATAGTATGGTTTACCTTTTGCCTCACCATACATGTGATTCATCTGTGTTGCCATGTACTCTAACTTGTCTCTTGGGTCTAGAATGTTTGCAAAGAATATCATCAAGTTCATTTTATCTATATCCCCCCAATATTTCTCAAATTTAGCCTTCATATTTTCTCCCATCAGTTGCACAGACCCTCCAGCTTCCACCATGCCATTCAAGAGGCAGTATAAATCAGAAATTTCAAAAAAGAAAGTGTTAGAAGTGACATATAAAGAACCAGAAATTCTTATTGTCATATCATAAAAACATTTCAAGATCTCCACCAAACTCTTCACAGACTCCCAATCAAGAAAAGTAGGAACAACATCAGACAGATCTGCTTTGTAGGCAGTATCACTTTCTTCAAGTGACTCAAACACTTTCTCATAAATAATTGCAGATTGTAACATAAGATATGTAGAGTTCCATCTGGTTGGAACATCTAGACACAAAGATGATTTCTGTTCAATCCCATTCCACTCAGCCAAGTCCCTAAATTTCTTAAGTCTAGCAGGTGAACTCCTCACATATCTTACAGCCTCCCTTACCCTCTTCACAGAAGAATCACATTGTTTCAGGCCATCTTGGACAACAAGGTTCAGAATATGGGCAATACATCTCATGTGAATATACTTGCCCTTCACAGTAGATGTTCCCCAAGACATCAATTTCTTTTTTAAAAAACCTATAGCAGTGTCATTAGATGAAGCATTGTCTACAGTTATACTATACACATTCCTAATCCCCCAATCAAGCAAACAGGTTTCAAGGACTTTTGCTACAGCCTCACCCTTATGTGATGTAATAGGGACAAATGAGATAATCTTCTTGTTAAGCTTCCACTCTTCATCTATAAAATGGGCAGTCACTACCATGTAGTTAATTCTCTGAATAGAAGTCCAAGTGTCAGTTGTAATACTGACTCTTTGAGTGTTCCCCCTAAAAACACATTTCAACTTCAATCTTTCCTCTTCATAAATCAGATTGATGTCCCTACTAATTGTCCATCTAGATGGAATCTTAAACCTAGGACAAGCCACCAGAATGAACTTCCTAAACCCTGGACCCTCCACAAATCTAAAAGGCAGTTCATCAATTATAATCATTTCAACCAAGGCCCTCCTAATAGCTTCCTGGTTAAAGACCCAAGTTCCTAACTCACCAACAGTAGCAGGAGATGCATCAGAATTTGTAATAGCTTGAAAGGTTAACAGTGATTGTCTAGTGTCTTTAGAGTGGGGGTTTTTCAGACAGCTAAGCATGTGGTTTCTCAAGGAGGTAGTACCATGCTTTTTAGACTGACATTGATATATTTTGGCACAATATATACACTTGCCTTTAATAGTAACACCAGTACTATCCTTAATTTTTTCATAATGATCCCACACTGGAGATCTGGACTCAACAATCTTCCTCTTCTTCTCAAGAACTGCAGTAGTAGGTTGCACATTCTGTTGATTATTTGTGTCAACAGTTTGGCCTTCCACCACTGTAGACCCATCAATTGAAGATTTAGAAGGTTGACTTCCAGACTCTATGATATTTTCCATCTAAGTAAATGGAATACCATCAGTATAGTGGTCACTACTCAGTGGGAAACATATTGAACAAGTACAGATATTCAGATAGTCACAGACAACTGAGAGAAATAGAGAAATCCAGAATCAGAAGACATGCACCTCTTAACTTCATCATTTTTCTAAATTTCATAATTGGGACTTCAAGAAATTAACTATTAAGGGTCATGCATCCATAAACTTATAACTTATAAGTTATAATCTATACAGGCATACAGTGATACAATCACAGTATCACATAAATCACACAAAGTGACAAAGAAATCCAGTAATCAGGAACCTGTTAGCCTGAACACTTTCTCATCATTTTACTGGATTTAAGAGTTGGTAGTTACAATTGGGGCTTCCACCAATCCACCATTTTCACCAACACAGGCAACATCCAACAGCCAACACTCAACAGGGGTTACTGGGTTAGGGACTTAGGGGCTTCCACAAACAATACAGACAATCACAAACCACATACTCATAGAAACCCAAATCACAGTATCAAAAATTCACAACTAAGGGACAAGTGACATCAGAATCCAGAACTTCTCAACAGATTCACATTGTCACAGTCCACATAAATGACATAATCATAGAAACCCTAATCAAAGGATCAAAAATTCACAACTAAGGGACAAGTGACATCAGAATCCGGAACTTCTCAACAGATTCACAGTGTCACAGTCCACATAAATGACATAATCATAGAAACCCTAATCAAAGGATAAAAAATTCACAAATAAGGGACAAGTGACATCAGAATCAGGAACTTCTCAACAGATTCACAGTGTCACAGTCATCAGAATCATACAATCACAACTAACACCAAAGTATCACAACATATAAGAGTATAATCTAAGTAAGTCTAAGATTAGGGTTTAGAGATTACTTCGTTTCTCCAAATCAAACCCCCGAGAACAAAGGGCTTCAAATCCGTTAGATCGTGACAGCACTCTACAATCCACCGCACCGGCCACCGGACACCGGTCGTCCAGAATAGGGCTTCCACCGAACAATATTACCTAGCTTCCACCGGAGACTCACACTCTCAGCTTCCACCGAACAATATCACTCTCAGTCTCTAGAAGAAACTCAGAGAGAACGAGAGAACGAAGCGTCTCACTCTCTCACAGAATCAGAGAACTGGAGAAGAAACTCACGACAGAACGAGTTTCAGATTTCAGATTTTCAGATTAGAAAGACGAGACTCACGAGAGAACGAGTGGAATGGCTAGGGTTTCCAGAGAGTTCTCAGAGGTCAGAAGAAAGAAGAGGAAGCTGCGCAAATGAGTGGAATGGCTAGGGTTTCCATCAAACGCAACACATATATACATCACTAGGACGACATCGTATACCTTAGGGTAAACGAACCCTTACCCTAATTCGGGTAATCGGACGGGTTCGGGGGGGAATTTATAAGCCTCAACCCGCCTCCTCCAAACCGGCTTATTTCCGTAGCATCGGTTCGGTTCATGCTGTTCGGGTTCGGATTGCCCCAAATAGAACTTAAACGGATTCGGGTCGGTCGGGTAATTCGGGTGGGTCGGTTTTTGCACACCCCTAAACAAACTTAATCGAGTTCGATGGTGTTGACAAAAATCATTATTTTATTAGTAACCTTTTTTAGAGTATTATTATTCAAGGATGTTACTCTTTGGATGAATTGGATCATCTATGCACTAATTATTTCAATAAATAAACTTAAAACAGACCAAACAAATGAGTATGAGCTTTGTCTTTATTTCTTATCAATGAAATTTAAATTCAATTTTTTAGCTTTGTCTTTATTTCTTATCAATGAAATTTAAATTCAATTTTTTACATTCATTGACGTGAACTTTTAGGTATAAAATTGCTCTATTTTGAATGAGCTATATATGTTCTAGGTTTGTCCAAAAGGAGATTGATGGATGCCCATACCCATACGTTTGTTGAGAAATGGGAAAGCATGGAAGATAGAGAGAAATGGAAACGTATTTGAAGAAAGGAAATAGATACATGGGAAATTGGAGAGAAATTAATGTTGTATAGTACATCCATTAATGTTGTCAGATTTAAGAAATAGAAAAATAAAGATATTACTTATACTCTATAAATCTTATTCTAACTTTTACTTCCATTAACTCACATAATATATTATTAACTTTAACGGAGCGTTTGGTTGGAGAGATTTTAAATTTCATTTCCACTTAATTCTCATTTAATTCTAAAGGTCATTAAATTCCGTAGTTTGGTTGGAGGGAATTGCAATTCTCCCATTTTCATAGAATTAAAATCCCATGTCCCCCCTGGTATTTTAATTCCTAGGATTTTAGGAAGAAAAAAAATACTGATGAGACAAAATTATCCTTCTTTTTTTTTTAACCTAAAATGAATGTCTGATCTTTCCTTTTAACAACAATAATGGGCATTTTGGACTTTATACTACTTATTCCATTTCAATTCTCATGTATACCAAACATTGGAATTGAAATTCACGGTAATTCTATTCCTGTCAACCAAACACTGGAATTTAAATTCCCATTTTATTCCAGTAATTCAACTCCCATAGAATTACAATTCCTTTCCCACATAATTCTCCCCCTCCAACCAAACGCCTTGAAGTGTGTGTGTGTGTGTGTGTGTGTGTGTGTGTGTGTGTGTGTGTGTGTGTGTGTGTATATATATATATATATATATATATATATATATATATATATATATATATATATATATAAAAGAATTAATGTAACATGGGGTCCTCCGAGTATAGTTTTTTTGTCACGTTTATTACTAAACTTTTAAATTGATCATATGTGGTCCTTTGACTTTCAAATTTAACCATTCGTGTTCCATGTTAACCACCCAGGATCCTCCAAGTTTTAAAGTTTAACAGTTGTGGTCCTCTTGAAAGGACAATGGTTGGTTAAAATTTAATAGTTGAAGGATCATGTGTGGTTAACATTATGGAACATGAATGGTTAAATTTAAAAGTCGGAGGATCACAGATGGTCAATATAAAAGTTTCGGACTAAACGTGACAAAATCACTATACTCGAAGGACCTCAGATGGTATTAACTCATATATCACTACTAGAAATTCTGAAATTTCCGACCACCTGAAAATGATCTTAAATTAAGTTGATACCAAAAAGTCCAAAAAGTGGTCGGAAATAGCAACAAAGGTTTTTCCGGATACCAAAAGTGGTCGGAACAAGACTTTCAACTTGATTTAAGATCACTTTCAGGTGGTCGGAAATTTCAGAATTTCCAGTAGTGTATAATAATATAATATGTTAATTATGATATAGCTTCCAAATATTATTATTATTATTATTATTATTATTATTATTATTATTATTATTATTATTATTATTATTATTATTATTATTATTATTATTATTATCATTATTATTTTTTGATAACTCATTTTTTTTTTATTTGTGAGACTATATCCTAAGCCCCATTATGATCACAAGGGGATTCATCCTTTTCAATTTAATTATTTTTCAGTTTTTTCTTTTCAAATAATTGGTCGATCGTGAAAAAAATAATAATAATAAAGGAACTACACTTCATAACTAAAACTCTAATGATTGGTTTACTAGTAAAATATGGATTTCATTGTAATAGACAAAAAAAAAAAAAAATTATTTACCCACAACCATAAAACTACGTTAGGTATACCGAGATATATTTAGAGTATATACTTAGCTCATTTAATTTGATCTCCTACTCAACTCTGCAACCTTTTAGTAATGCTCTTAATTCAAAAGTGACCTTAGCATTATAATTACATTGATTGCTAATGAATAATCAAGTTTTAGGCCATTTATATGATGGCTATTTTTTATGCGATTAAATAAGAATAATTCCTAGTTGTATTGTGACATTATGATAATTATCTTTAAAAAATTAAACTTAAAAAATTTACAAAAAAAAAAAAGAAGGAGGAGGAGAAATGGAGAATGCAACTTTAGGTTCAATTATATATGATCTTTATTAAATATATAGGGTATGAAGACTAGCTACTGACTTTAATAACTTTGGTTCTAAATATATGCAAGACATAGCACATGCTCTCTCACCCTACAATTACTCTCTCATTCCTAATTTGTACAGACGTACCACATAGGTCATCCTCCCTATGAATTTACTATCATTATTAAGATTCCCATAGGTTTACTAGCTCATTTCCAAGATAAAGAAATACGAATTGATACGTTATGCTTCACTACATTGAAATTAAATGTATATAGAAAAGTTTGGCATGTGCAATAACATATTATAACTTTAATAATATGCTGAATACATGTTATATGATTATATTATACATTATATACACATATAATATTTATTAATATGTATTTAGAAAAATTCAATAATATAACTTCCTTAATTATAATTTATATTTTATATTGCAAGACTTATAATTAAAATAATTATATTTAGAAATTAACAAAATTAGTATTTTAATTTTGTATGATTAATTAAGGGAATTTCATATATAAATTAAATTAACACAATTTAATTTTTAAATTTGTATAGATTACTATAGTCTCTAACTATATTATGGAGCGTTTGGTTGGAAGGAATTACAATTTTATTCTCACCAAATTCTCACATAATTCCGAAAGCAAGCAAATTGTTTTATTTGGTTGGAGGAAATTACAATTACACGGAATTGAAACTCCCTCATTTTCATTCTTCCCAATTCCGTCATTTTCATGGAATTGGAATCTCATGTCCCTTCCTTTCAAAAAAAAAAAAAAAAAAAAAAAAAAAAGAATCTCATTCACCCGCTTAGTATTTTAATTCCATGGATTTTAGGATGAAAAAAAAAAAAAAGGTAACTTTGAGACAAAATTACTCATTCTCTATTTTAACCTAAAATTGATGTTTGGCATCTCTCTTTTGAATGTTTGATTATAGTGTGTCTTCTTCTTCTACTCTTAACACATAACACAGAACGTCAATTAGTAGGCCAACCTCAATCAAATATGTTT